GGTCTCTTTGACAAGCACCTTAAAAGCCCAAGACACCACGAGGGGTCAGGGTTTAGGGCCTTATGTTTTAGGGTTTGGGGCTTTAGGGGTCTGTGGGGTTGGTTTGGGGTGTCTATAGGTCACCAGGGGCTTAGGGGGGGCCCGGGTTTGGGTTTTAGGGTTTTAGGGTTAGGGGCCCGGGCCTTATATCACCTTTAACAGAACCTGATAAGCCCCACATCCCAAATCCGAAACCCGAGATGCGGGCCCTTGACGGTACCATGCACGTCTTTAAAGATTCCGTTAAGAACAACTATAAAAGAAGATCTTTCAAAAGCACCCGCCCTGAAGGAATGCTTTTCAGAACCCTAAACCTACACCCAAAACCTCCCACACAGCCTTTGAAGGAAACCTTGAAGGTGCCAAGATGCTAAACCCTACAACGCTTTCGCACAAACCCGAAAACCTACAGAACCCAAACCCGAAAACCAATGGCCTAAGTTCTCAACCCTGAAAGCAAATCTTCCTAAACCCTAAACCTGTAGAATCTGTCGAACCCTTGAAGCAACCCTTAAAGGAAGCCTTAAACAACCCTTAAGTAAGGGTTCTTTTGATTTGAGGGTTCTTATAGGGGCTCCTTTAAGGGCTCCTTTAGGGGTTCCTTTCAGGGGTCTTTACAGCAAAAGCCCAAAAGTTGGAAACCCAACAGCCTCAATCCATAAGAGTAGTGCAAAGGGAACCCCAGCGCTATTTGGCCTTAGTCCGGTTACCAACTTTATGGGGTTTACTATAAAGGTAACCCTAAACCCTAAACCCTATAGTACCCCTATAGAGCCCTTTAAAGGAACCCTTAGAATCCCCTTTAAAGGAGCCCCTGTGGTTACCAACTTTATGGAGTTTACTATAAAGGAAGCCGTCACAGGGGAGCCCGGCAGGTCGTCGTTCATCATCGAGGGCGTCGTTGCTTTGCGGGCGGAAAAGGCCGCTGAGGATTTGAGCCAAGCTTTCGGGGGGTTTAGGTTTTTTGTAAGGTTTAGGGTTTTAGGGTTGAGGAGTTTAAGGATTTATGGTTCAGTGTTTCGGGTTTAGGGTGGCGAGTGGGCTTTACCTGGACCGAAACGTATAGAATAATAATAGCCTTTTGGCAGGTGTTGGGCCAATATTTACCAAACTTAGTGGGCGTTTATTCTTTGGGAGCTCGTTGTTTCTAAGATGTAGCGGTGCCAGGGTGTAGGGCCAGAGGGTTTAGTTTAGGTCGTACAGTTACGGGTTTTGGAGTTTAGGGTATGGGGTGTAGGGGCTTTGGGGTTTAAGGCTGGAGGTGTTTCGGAAAGCTCAGAAATGAAGGGGCTTGAGGGTTTGGGGTTTAGCTTCTATACAGTAGAAGCTGAAAACTTGGAACATGAGTGTCCTCATGACCGTAAGGTAAAGTACGGTTGATGATATAAAACCTGCACTGCCTTAAGCACCCTAAACTATGGAAATTATGGTATGTTCCTTACTACCGCCAATGCAGGATTTATATCATCAGCCGTAGTATTACAGGGGATCCCAGCACTAATCATCCGAAATCCACATTCCAGCTTTCTGGGGTTCACTGTTAGGGTTTTGGGGCCTTGGGTATACGAGCCACGCGTAAGTGATGGGAAAGTCAAAGGGGCTTCGAAGATGAAAGGTCACTGAAAGGCCAGATGTTTACGGTTGATGATATAAATCCTGGTTCCTTTACAGGGATCTATCAGGGGTTCCTTTAAGAGATCTATAGGGTTTTAGGGTTTAAGGTTTAGTTTGATGATATAAATCCTGCATTACCCACAAAAAGGAATATACAATAACTCCCATAGTTTAGGGTCCTTATGGTAATGCTGGGTTTATACCCCTAAACCCTAAACCCTATTCAACCCTAAACCCTGTAGATCCCTTAAAGGAACCCATAAAGCATCCCCTGATGTATATCACCAACCCTAAACCCTAAAATCCCATAGATCCCTTAAAGCAACCCATAGGAACCCCTTAAAGGTACCCTCATAGATCCCTCTAAAGGAACCCTAGGATTGATATCAGAAACCTAGAACTCCATTGAAAGCCCTTCGAATCAGGCCTTCGGCCCTGAGCCCTGGTTGTACTTGGAGGGTCTTTAGGGAACTTAGTAAGTAGGGGCTCCTTTAAAGGGGATTATAAGGGCTCCTTAAACAGGGACTTAGTAAGTAGGTAGCAAGTAGACTTATAAGTACCCTAAAAGGGACCCTACTTGGGGTTACGGTACTTATAAGTCCCCAAAATAACCAGTTACTAAGTCCCCCTAAACCCTAAACCCTATACCCTTATAGAATCCCTATAGATCCCTTTAAAGGACCCCTTTAAAGGAACCCCTTAGAGTTACTAAGTCCCCTAAAGACCCTCCAAGTAGGGTCTCAGGCTTCAGGGCTTCGGCTCCCGAACTTTCACGGTTTGGGGCTTTAGGGTTCAGGGCTTCGGGCTTTTGAGGGTTTAGGGTTTAGGGCTGTTAAGGGTTTCGGGTTTAGGACTTTTAAGGGTTTAGGGTTTAGGGCTTTTAAGGGTTTAGGGTTTAGGGTTTCGGGCTGTTAAGGGTTTCGGGTTCAGGGTTTCGGGCTTTTAAGGGTTTAGGGTTTAGGGCTGTTAAGGGTTTAGGGTTTAGGGCTTTTAAGGGTTTAGGGTTTAGGGCTGTTAAGGGTTTCGGGTTTAGGGTTTAGGGCTTTTAAGGGTTTAGGGTTCAGGGTTTCGGGCTTTTAAGGGTTTAGGGTTTAGGGCTGTTAAGGGTTTAGGGTTTAGGGCTTTTAAGGGTTTAGGGTTTCGGGTTTAGGGCTGTTAAGGGTTTCGGGTTTAGGGTTTAGGGCTTTTAAGGGTTTAGGGTTCAGGGTTTCGGGCTTTTAAGGGTTTAGGGTTTAGGGTTTAGGGCTTTTGAGGGTTTAGGGTTCAGGGTTTCGGGCTTTTAAGGGTTTAGGGTTTAGGGTTTAGGGCTTTTGAGGGTTTAGGGTTCAGGGTTTCGGGCTTTTAAGGGTTTAGGGTTTAGGGTTTAGGGCTTTTGAGGGTTAAGGCTTCAGGGTTAAGGGCTTTTAAGGGTTTAGGGTTCAGGGTTAAGGGCTTTTAAGGGTTTGGGGTTTAGGGTTTAGGGCTTCTAAAGGTTTCGGGTTTAGGGCTTCTAAGGGTTTCGGGTTTAGGGTTTAGGGCTTTTAAGGGTTTCGGGTTTGGGTTTAGGGCTGTTAAGGGTTTCGGGTTTAGGGTTTTAGGGTTCAGGGTGTACTTGGAGGGTCATGGGTAGTTATAAGTAGGGTTATAAGTAGGGTTACTAAACTTACAACCCAGGCCAGGGGACTTATAACCCGACTTTCAACTACCAGTACGAATGAACCTCCAAGCGGGGATGTGGCAGAATCTGGTCATTAGGTTGCTGCGCTGAGGGTTTGAGGGCTTTGGGCTCCTTCGGCACTTCGAAACCGGGTTTAGGGCATACGGCCGGATTTGGCCCATCAAGCGAGCACGCGGCATCTGCATTTTGCAGAAGAGCCAGAAGCAAGCACCCCGCATCCCTCAACCCCAAACCCCACACCCCACCGAAAGCCCTGAACCGTGGTCCTCCTTAACAGTACGTAGTTTGGAAACCTTCGTCTGAAGAAGCGGGCTTTGGCGCACCTAGCACTGAATTTGTTATGAGGAGACAGAAAGGATAACATTGGTATGTATTTGTTCAGGCTTCCATATTACCCGTGAACCTTCAAGAAAGACCTGAAAGCTGTCCTGCTTTGACTTACCAAGCTTTCGGGGTCATGCTTTCCTTTTCGGAACAGAAAAACAACTCGGGAGCCTAATGGACTATGTAGTTACACCGCTGGACAAGCATCAAGCCATGAGGCCGTTCAGAGCCCAGGATCTATGGATGTCTGGTTACGGCCTGAGGCAAAAGACAAAAAGCCCTACAAATCCTCCACCCTCGTCCTCCAAGCCCTCAGCCCGCACTTTCTGAACCCAAAATCCCTAAACCCCTAAACACCTAAACTCCTAAACCCCAAGCCCCAAAACCCGAAACTCCCAAACCATTGGCCCCTCAGCCTCTAAACCCACCCCACCGTGAATCTGCGTCAAGGTTAACCTAGATGTTTTAGGGTTCCTTTAAAGCGAGCACTTAGAGGTTTTGGGATTCCTTTAAAGGGTTTGCAGGGCTGTGGTGCATCTGCATTAACACAGGCAGACATCTCGGAGACATGCTCTGCACTGAAAGTGCACGGCGCAGATGCTGGACAATGAAAGCAACTCGCCTTTGAAAGTTTCTCCTAATAAGAGTATGTATTATGGGAAAGGGAACCATAAACCCTAAACCCCAAAACCCTAAACCCTAAAAATCTTGATGACGTCGGAAGCGTCGCTCGACCCTGCATATAGCCACGTAGGAAAACCTAGACGCTGAAATCCAAGCCGGCAACATCGCTGTTTCGGACTCTGGGCTTTTAAGGCCCGACACAAACCGTAGGGTTTAGTTGTTCTTGTTTATGGGCTCTTTTCCGCCTGCATGTACAGTTAGAACTCCTATACTAGCAGGAGCCTGTGCTTAGTCTAGGGTTTAGGGGACATAAACCGTAGACCCTGTCCTAAACTGTTTACCGGAGGGTCCAATCACTCCCTATTATAGGACCTTAGGGCCTTTTTAGGTATCAAAAGCCATAAATGAGGACTACTTGGACCCTTAGGGTTTAGGCTGACAGTTCAGGTTCCCAACTATGAGACACTCCTTTGAGTTCGCGGCGCCAGCGGAAGCTTAAAACCCATACAGACTCCTGCACTTGATCGAAATCTAGAAACAAGCGGAACCTCAAGCGCTGAAACACCAAACCACAGCCCTGAACCTGAACAGAGATAGCCGAAACCCGAAGCCCTTCGATTGCCAGCATCTACAGATCCAAAGGGTCCAAGTACCATTATAGTAGGTAGTTAGTACCCTAAAGTATATACTATACGATTACTTGGACCCGTTGGGAGAGCCAGTCTTGCTGCTATATTCCTGCTCACCGTCGGCGTGCTCTTCCCCTCATGCTACCTGCATAAAAGCATGGGCAAATCGACACGGGCACTTGGTGGTGGCAGCATTCGTCGTGGTCGTCGTCGTCGCTGTCGTTTTCGAAGCAGACGTAGAAGAAAAGCAGACGTGGTAGCAGCAGAAGAATTTAAGATTTAGTATTACCTTCGTGCCAAAGTCTGCAACGAGGTAGTCACATGCCCACCCGCCTCCGCCGCGTTTTCGCCTTGGCAAGAACAAGGCACCACATTCAACGTTCAAACACTGCAACCCGAATCAACCACAAACCTTAAACCCCCGAACCCGCCTGGAGCCCATAAGTAAATAGAATAATAGCCTTGTATAGGCGTTGGGCCTTTATTTCGAATAATTTTTTGGGGTTTAGGTGACACTTAAACCCCTTAACCCCTAAACCCTAAACCCTGTACCCCAAACCCCTAAACCCTGACCTTTACTAGAAAGACTGCCTCAACTCAGCTCATAGGGCCCAAAACAGCACATAAGCAGAAAGAAGGATAAGGATATCCCATATACACCACCTTATCATGAAGCCCAATAAGGTAGTGATATCCCGGTTATAAGTCTCCTAATTGGGGTTATGAATGTAGCTACCCTACTTATAACCCCACTTATAATTACTCATGAACCTCCAAGTAGGCTCGAAACCCTACACCCTTATAGAATCCCTAGAGATCCCTTTAAAGTGACCCTTAAAGGAAGCCCAGCCATGAACCTCCAAGTAAGCTCCCGGCTTGCCAGGAGCTGTGTCGAAGGCGGTGGCCACGTTCGCGCGGACGCCCTGCGCTCGCCGCTTGGCCTCGAATCGGAGGGTGAACAAAAAGAGGCAACGTATGGGAGGGTTTAGCGTTTATACGTTTAAGGTTTAGGTTTCGGGATTTAAGGGTTTACGGTTTGGGGGTTTAGGGTTTAGGGTGTAGGGTTCATTAGGATCGGCATCACACAGCTCCATCGGCCAGGCCCTTACCTAGACCCTGAATTGTAGTACCCTTTTAAGGCTTGCCTCATTTAAATTTTCTTGGCGTAGGATCCCAAGCAGGAAAAAGCTCTTCGAAAAGAAGGCTTAGCATGTCCAAAAGCCCTGAAACCTTAAACCCTAAACCCTCGAGGTATTTCAGAAACTTTCAGCATGAAAAGTGGAAGAGTAACGCGTCTGCAAACTGGTTTAGGGTGAAGGCTTATAGGGTTGTCAGGATCTGGGGTTTAGGCACACTACGACTGCAGTGAAATGAGGAATTATGTCTGCAAAACGCTCAGGGTTTTGGGATTGCGGAGAGTATGGGGATAAGGGACGCAAGGGGTTCTGTAGATCCTCGACCTTGTGCAGACTGTCCATGCGAAACATTAGACTTGCCGCTCACGTCTGGCGACATGACGAGCTTCCCCTGAAACCTCTGCCCTAACCTAAGACCTTCATGCTTTGCTGAGGGCTTGTGCACCATTCTGAAACCGGAAACGCGGAAGCTGGTCACCGACGTATGCTGTCTCTTTTCGTTACATGTTGACATGCTTGAATCATTCGCGCATCCGGCGCACATCAAGACCGGGAAACAAGGGAACGGGAGCTAGTCTGATCAGAAATATTCTCCTTCAAATCACCTTCGATAAGTTGTGCACAACCTACACTGCAGCACACAACCCTGAACCGTAAAAGCAACATACTCTTAGTGCTTCCTGGCCCAGACATCAACCTGAAACCCGAAAGCCCTACTTGGAGGGTCGGGGGACTCAGTAGCTGGTTATTTTAGGGACTTATAAGTACCATAACCCCAATTCGGGTCCCTTTTAAGCTTTTAGGGTACTTATAAGTCTACCTACTACCTACTTACTAAGTCCCTCGACCCTCCAAGTAGGCCCTAAACTGCAACCCTAGGCATTCCCCAACGCTTTCAAGCACACAGGGTCCAGACGTCTTCGTACTCTTTCAGGACTCCTCCACCCCGACTCTGCCGGCGGCCTGCGTTTCGGGACTTTCGTTCTTTAGGGATTTCGGCTTCAGATTTCCTGGGATCAAGCATTAAAGAGGAGGAACATGAACAAGCGGCTGCAGAAGGTCTCAGAAACCTGCAAGAGTTGCCAGCATTACGAGCATGACGACGGCCCTGTATCACCGGATGTTTCCGAGATCCGTGGCATTTTGCAAGTTTTTCAACGGGTTTCACAAAGCTTTTGCAGGGTTCCCTAAACCCCTAAGATCCCCATGGTGTACAGGATCAAATCAATGTAAATACCTGGGATGAGATTTGGAAGGCCATAAATGGGAGTTTCCGAAAATAGGGGACCCCAATATAGTACCCTAAATAGTAGGACCCTTATTTTTACCCACCTCAAATAAGGTACCCCTAATTTTCGGAAACTCCCATATGCACTACTATTATTGAATTAAGTCATTCGGCCCCGAAAACCATAATGGGGATGGTCTTTTATAGGGCCTACTGCCATAAAGGTACCCCTAATTTTCGGAAACTCTACACCCCGAAGCCTTTATAGAACCTTACAGAACCCCTTTAAAGGAGCCATACAGTACCCCGAATTTTCGGAAACTCCCAAATGAAGGAACCTTTTGATGCACAGGTTCCTGAAAGGCTAATTACTTGGAGGGTCCTTAGGGGACTTAGTAAGTAGGGGCTCCTTTCAAGGGGATTCTAAGGGTTCCTTTAAAGGGCTTTAAAAGGGTACTATAGTATTTAGGGTTTAGGGTTCAGGGACTTAGTAAGTAGGTAGTAAGTAGACTTATAAGTACCCTAAAAGGGACCCTAATTGGGGTTATGGTACTTATAAGTCTACTAAGTCCCCCGACCCTCCACGTAGTGTACCTGCAACCCCCATGTCCTGATGTTTTTTTGCTTGGCACCTAGGAAGGGGCCCTAATTTAGAGAACTATAAACTCTAAACCCGAATATATACCCATATGTGAAGGGGGCCGGCATCGAAATGGCGGGCCAGGTTTAACCCGAAACGTCCCTTATGTCCAGCACTGCCAACGTCTTGCCTGCGCACTAGACATTGCCCAACAAGCCCACAACCCTTTAATCTTATGGTTTAGGATATGCCTTGAACCTATGGCTCCCATAATCTTAAGGTGTATAGTCCTTTATTAAGGGTTATTGGGTTCTCCGGGTGAGCGCCTCCAGAAGCTTTAGGATTTGCTTCTCCTCCACGGCTGTTAAACTTATGGCCACTGTCTTGCACAGGGCTTCCTCTCAGAGACGTCACCAGATACAGAAGTACTAAACTAAAAGAGCACTCTCCCATCTCACCTGAAACCCTACACACTAAACACTCAGTCTAAAACCCTTCAATCCAAACAAACTCTCACTGCCGCGCCTCGCCCTCTATCTGCACCTGAGTCTGGAACCAGGTGCAGGCATGAAATCAGGATTTCTTACAGGAGGGAGTTGCAGTCGGCTGTCCTTGTAATAGTTTGGGCTTTATAAGCTGCATTTCTTGATGAAGCAACCATCTTAGGAAGTACGGTTCATTGCCAAGACACGGCCTTGGCATGTCTACACGGTAAATGTGTTAAACCATTCACAGTGGCTCTGTCTGTAAGTTCACCGTGCCTCCCCTGCGCTGCTAAAACTACAACTACAACAGCTGATGTGCCTCCAGAACCATCACCAGCGCAACTTGGTAGGGTTGAAACAAGCCAAAACCCTAAACTACCAGAACCCAAATCATATGACCTAAACCTAAAACCCATGCAACCCTAAACCCCTAAACCTTAAGCCCCTAAACCCAAAACCTAAAATCCCTACATTCTTATTGCCATACAACCCTAGACCTGAAGCCCTCCTGAACCTAAAAGCCAGGAATTTCCAGTTTCGAGATTTCCTGTACCCCTTAACCCAAAGGGTCCAAAGGACCCGACGATTAGAGACTGGGCTTTTGGAGAGTAGTTATGTAGGCGACTAGTTTGGAGAGTATATGAGAGTTTCAGGCGTAGAGGTTCAGAGGCTTAGGGCTTGATGGTCCAACCCTGAACCAACCGAAGCCCTAACGCCTATAAACCCTAAACCACTAAACCTTAAACCTAATCAAGCCAGATCCTGCCCGTACCACCCAAAAACCTGCGAAACGGCGTGGATGGCTCATGAAATGTGGGGAAGACCCCTCGGAACGAAACAGAAATGCCGAGCAGTACACTTCGGAGGATGTCGTTGAAGTCGGCAGAGGCCTCGGCGCGGGTCTGTGCAACGAACCCATATGCACACAGCCTCGCGCTTAGGGTTACCGATTTTCAGTTCGGGAAGCAGGATTGGCGAACGATCAATGTTGCAGCAAACTGCGACTGAAGCAGTCACCTCAAGGTGAATGACAGAGTTGCCGAGTGCATCCTTGCAGTTTACCATAGGCTTTGCAACATCTCGCGCAGCATTCTACTACAACAGTACGGAAACATCAAACCCTGAACGTCCTGAGCGCCCTACTTGGTGGTCAAACGGTTGGACTGGGCTTTAAGTTTGTGGCGGGTTTATACCTGTACCAAAAAGACAGGCAAGGGACCCCAAAGAAATTTAGTATGTTCCTGCTTATTCAGGCCGCACATTGAAGATTTCCAGCACATGGTAAGCCGGAAACCTGTGGACAGTGAATCCACTTCGATTGGCTACAGCACTCTAAGCACGCAGCCCTAAACCCTTACAGTACTTCAAAACCCTAGACCATGAACAAGTTAACCCTAAACCCTGTACCCGAAATCCTAAACCTTCAAGTTGTAACCCCCCGGACACAAACCGTGTAAAGCTTGGTCCCAGGCATCGTAGAGCGAGACCGCTCCGCCTGAGGTCTGGCGCCCTTCCCTGGAGTTCTTGTCGACTTCGGGGAGGGTCATGGGTGGTTATCAGGGTTCCTTTCAGGGTCGTTGTAAAGGGATTCTACAAGGGTATAGGGCTTAGGGCCTACTTGGAGGTTCATGGGTAGGTCAGGGTGGGGTGGTTATCAGTAATTGCTTCAGGGGTTTAAGGTACAGGGTTTAGGGCTCGGGGAGAGTCTGGTCCCTGATATGGGCTAAGGGGTTTCGGCATTTATATTTTTTTGTTTTATGAGGGGGGTTTAGGGCAGGGTTTAGGCTCAGGGTTTGGGGTGCATAGAACTATATGACAAGGAACACAGAATAGTCTTACTAGTCCTTCCTTTGTGCTTCCTCTGTGGAGCTTAGTTTCGGGGGTCATGGGAGTTTTGTAGCGGTGGGATTTTGGAAGATTTCAAGCGGCTTAGCGTTTAATGGTGTCAAATTCAAACATCTCGCACACCGGCCCTGATAACTAGAACTGGATTGCTGGATTGTCTAAAGCATAAGGAGAGTAAGGACACATGCGGAATGATATCTGTAATTGCTTAGGTTTCCAGTCCTTGGGCGTTGACCGCTGAGGCTCTCCGCAGAAAGATCCGACTGCGCCGCCCGCAACCTCAAAAAGCCTGCTTGGAGGGTCGGGGGACTTAGTAACTGGTAATTTTTGGGACTCATAATCACCATATCCCCAATTAGGGTCCCTTTTAGGGTACTTGTTTGTCTACTTACTACCTACTTACTAAGTCCCCCGACCCTCCAAGTGAACCGACTAACCCCAAGAAACCTGCAAGATGCTGAGCCCTTCTCCCCAAAACCCACACCCGACGAGACCCTACCAGCCATGACAAAGCTTAAACAAGACAATTCCAAAATCCTGCAAAACCCACATTCCCGACGAGACCCTAACAGCTTTAACAAAGCTTATACATGAAAAACCTACTTGCAAAACCCAAAGCCCTGAATCTCAAACCTTACAGTCCTACTGCAGGCCGCCACCTGAAACCAGAAACAATAAATGCCAAAGTAATTTCGAACCCTAAACCTGAATGCTAAACCCTGGAACTCCCAAACCAAAACCTGAAACCCTTAGACCCTTGACCTTTAAACGAGTAAACGCTCAACCCCTCAAAAGCTAGGTCAAAAAAGGCAGGCGGCCTCAATGCCTGTCGTTGTTTCCGGAGGTCTGCCTGAAAGAAATCTCGGAACCCAGAGACTCCAAAACCCCGAAACTAAAATTTGTGCCGGGACGTATAAAAGTTTAGAAGTGTAGTTAGAAAGCTTGAGGGCACTGGGGCCATGGGCTTTTGGTTTTCACTTTATGGCTTCTCCTGGAAGGACATCCCCGCTGAGGTTGCTCAGTGGTGTGCGAAAGTGAGGCTGGCCCGTAGTGACATGGTGCTGAACAGAGATCATAGAGTTCCTTATATGAGACGTACCATTTTGGGGTTATAGGCCCAGGCTTGCTTAATCAGGTTCGTACTACAACCCTTCGAGGGTCCCAAAACCCTTGCATGACCCCTCCGAAGGCCCACGATGCTTCCAGCTTGCGTCCTTCACTGTTGAGCTTTGTCCCTCTTCTTCAATAACCGGGCCAAAAGAGTTCTACAAGTAACTTTCAATCATAGGCCGCATGTATTCCTGTGTGGGTTTAGGGTTTATGTGGCTAAGGCCGGAAAGCTTAAAGTTCTCCCATTAGCTACCTAAGTTGCCTCTACGGCCAAGAGTTTTCGGTGGACTGGGCTTTCGGGCTTGGGGCTCAAATTTTCCGCTAGCCCTCCAGAAATCAACATGGCACCAAGCGTGCAAACTGTTCCTATCCCTAAACTGATAAGCCTGACAGCAGGATCCTCATTGGGTTTAGGGTTTAGGGTTTGAACAGTTTAGGGTTTTGGGTTGAGGGGTTTAGGGTTCAGGGTTTAGAGTTCATGGTCGATTTCAGTAAGGCTCCTTCAGGCTTTGTTTAGCCCGGCTGTAATGCTGAAAGCTGCTTTGTCGGCGAACTTGCCAACTGGCTGCACACATAAACTAAACCCTAAACCTTATACACTTTAAACCCCACCTATACAACTTGACCGTAAACCCTGAACCCTAAACCTTCCCGAAACATAGAAACTAAACCTAGACCCGAAAGGGTTGCCTTCTTGACCCGGATGCGCGTCATTGTGTCTTCTTCGTACCTTGGGCAATACTTTACAGCCCAGGGTTTGCTGAAGAAATTGAAGGTGTGGCAGGTTTTCCTGAAACTTCCAACCCTGGTTTAGGGTTAGGGGGTTTAGGGTTTAGGGGTTTAGGGCTTAGGGTTTAGGGCTGAGCCCTAAACCAAACACTAAATCCAAATTTGGGAGCCAGTTTGTATTCTTGGGTATACGTCGGAAAGTGGCTTCCTCGAGAACTCCACAGAGCACAGGGCACCTGGACTTTCCAAATGTACGAGTGTGTCCCACTGTCATAGGGGCCGTTAGGGGGGTTAGGGGGAGGGGGGGTAGCGGGCGTTCATGCCCACAATAGGGACCTAATAAGGCCCATTTAAGAGAGTATAGTACCAAACCCCCATCCCCCCTACCCTCGTAAGGGTCAATGTGAGATTGTAAGTGCAACACTCCCAGAACTTTGTGGAACTCATCTCAAGGCTCTTGTTTTCCTTGCTCTCCAAATCTCCGGCGTTGCCAAACGCTTCTTCGTTCCAGGCGCCCTAAACCTCTGAAGAGCGGCTGCAACAAGTCTTGCAAACGTTTGTATAGTGACCTGCCCTTGCAGATGTGACGTCCTGCATAAAACGGGTCCCCATCGGCGATCGCTCTGTTAAACAGACGGATCCATTTCAGCTTCTCACTGTTTCTCAGAGCCCGTTGGCGAGCTTCTTCTGCTTTGAAAGTTGAACAGATTGACCACTAAACCCTGAACTCTAATCTCTGCCTCTGTGCCGAACGCCAGCAGGACGGGTTGGGAGGTAACTCTGGCGTACTGCAGGTACGTAAGCAAGGGGAACAAACGACATCAGAAACCCCACAAAAACCTTATAGAGCTTCAAGGACCTCCCAAAGGGACCCAAATTTAGAAAACTATTACGGCCTCTGAATATCCTAGCCCAACAAAACTTAACCTGTTCAATTATAGGTTGATGACCTACGAGTACCCAGCTACTAAGAACAAGAGAACCAAACAAAATAGACCGAAGGGTCTAGCCTAAACCCTAGACCTTCGAGCGTGTTGCTGCCTAACTAACTTTACCGCCGCCGCTGCCAGCCGCAGCCAAAAGATTCTACGACCAGGGCCGATAGACTCGGAGCCTAAACTAAACCTTAGTTGCTGAAGCCATAAGCCCCCAAAAATGTACACATTTAGTTTTATAGTGGGTGATATTAGTGGGTGATATTATCCCAAAAAGTGTAAAGTGTATCCATTTAAGTTACCATAATCGGGATCATTCGGGATCTATAGTAAATAATAGGGCTTCTTTGAGATGGTAACTTGAACTACACTCCCTAACAAGAACCCAGACTAGTCGAAGCAAACCGAAGAAAACCATCTGCGACTGCGACTCCCGGCTCTTGCTGCTCCTGCAGCAGACGCTCGGCTTTCGCCGCGCCTTGGCCAAAATTCAGGTGCGGGGTGGGGGGGGGGGGCTGCGTTCGGGGTCTGGGAGTAGTAAGATTGGACCACGGTGTTCTGGTAAACCCTAAACCCTGAAAGCTCCGCACAGGAAAACCCCACAAGCCTAATGTCCGCATTTTCCTTGCGGCTTGAGATTTGGAGTATAATATGGGATTCAGCATTGGGGAAGGTTTCATCATCAATTTGGGGGGCCTCAGAGATTGTATTGGAAATTGAAGTCTGGCTGGGTTTCAGGGGTACGTGTGGACTTTAAGATTCAATAAGGTTAGCCTTAAGCCCCAAACAACCTGCCTTTTTAGGGCTCCTTATTATTATGATCCCCTTATAATAAGATCCGAAAGAATACGTACCCTAAACCCTAATACTAAACCCTAAACCTGGGCCCTATAACCCTAGCGGCGGTGATGGAGGGGTTGCCGCTGGCGCGTCGGTGAAACCTGCCCACCCCATCTGATGGGAGCTGTGCGTCATTGGGCCCACCATGTTCCACTGTGTCTCATCCATCCATCCATCCATCCATCCAGGAATCGCCGTAACCATCCCCTGACGTTCTGGAACATGGCACGATTGTACAGCTCCTTTCCATCGACCCTAACCCTAACCCTAAAGCCTAAACCGGGTTGTGCAGGGTCCACGTGGGGGCCAGGGGGCTTTCCCAACAGACGGGGCTCGTCTCGCCACAAAATGTCGCGACGACCTACACCCTAATGTAGGAACCTGATTCAGAAACCCTGGCCCTATAAACCCCAAGAAATAGTAGGATTCACAGAAAGAACCCCAATCAAGGCCCAAGGTTTCTTAATCAGGTTCTTACATTACCCTTATTCCCAAAGGGGTCTATAAGGCTAAGGGTTACTATAAGGGATCCATAAGGGTACTATAATAATGTAGGATACCCTCCATCCTACCAGAGCCCCCACCCTAAACCCCTTAAACCCTAGACCCCTAAACCCTGAAACCCGTAAACCCCTCAAAACCCTACACCTCTTAAAAACCTAGACCCCTTAAACCCGTTAAAACCCCAAAACCCGTAAACCCCTTAAATACCTAGCAGCCTCAGTATTTGGAATAGGGTTCCTTTGAAGGGATCTATAAGGGTTACTATAAGGGATCTATAAGGGCTACTACAATATAGGAGGCGTGTCACTACAGACACGAAGGCCAGCCCAGGTCCCAGGGTTTAGGGCTTAGATTTTAGTTTTTAGGGGGTTTAGGGGGTTTAGGGGTCATTTAGGGTTTAGGGTTTGGGGTTTAGATTTTAGGGCTCACGGGGTTTAGGGTTCATTTAGGGTTTAGGGTTTAGAGTTTAGATTTTTAGGTTTAGGGGGTTTAGGTTGCATCTAGGGTTTAGATTTTAGGGTTTAGGGGGTTTAGGGTTCAGGGTTGGACCATGGACAAAATTCTGAGACTTCTCCATCGCTACATCCAGGGGGCTATCATTCTTCCTCACCGCCCTTACATGGATCCTAAAACCCCTACTTGTTGAAGGTGTAAGAACCCTGGTTTTAGGCTTGAAGCACTTTGACAACCAAGGCTCTGAACCTTCACGGCCCTGCCCTAACACAGCCTCAAAAAGCTTCGAAGCAACTCCTATCTCCAACTTCCCCAGTAAATCCCGAACCCCTAAACCCCAAAACCCTAAACTCTAAAACCCTGAAGCCCTTAACTCTAATTCCTCGTAAACCGAAAAGCCTAAATCCTAAGTCTTAAAACTCTCCTCATAAACTGTAGCTTGAAGCTCGTCCAGGGGTCGAGCGTGCAGACTTCTCCTCACCCAAGATCTCCCGGGGTGCATCGGTGAACTCCTGCTCTTGCTTTAGCGACTAAGGTCGCGAACTTAAGGTTTAAGGTCTTAGGGCCTTTAGGGTTTAAGGCTTAGGGTCTTAAGTCTTAGGGTCTTTGGCGTTGTAGGTTTAGTTTAGGCTCTTGGGCATTAGGGTTGAAGGAGGTTCGGGTTTGGGGTTCAGAGATGATGAGGGTGCAGGATGAACTCCTGCAGGTGAACGAGCCTTGTTTCGAGTTCGAGCTGCATGGTCTTGCAGTTGATGGTTTAGGGTTTAGGGGTCTAGGAGTTTTAGGGGTTCAGGGCTTTAAGGCGTAGGGGTTTAGGGTCCAGGGTACGCTGCGGGGCTGAATGACCCAGCCCAACATTGCTTGACCTTTTCAATTATGGCAGGGTTATGTGAGCCCCAAAAGGTTAAAGGCTTCCCACTCAGCCAGTGTGGATGGTTTGGGATTTAGACTTTAATATAGGGGCCTCAATAATTAGAATAGGGTTTGGGGGGGTATTTTACACTGCAATTAAAGCAAACTCTATACTAATCATGCAGGCTCCTATAATACGGTCCCCCAGGTTTAGCAGTTTAGCATTTAGGGCTTCAGGGTCCGGGGGGGGGACCCCAAAATCCACGAACCTCGAAGATCCGACAGAGCCCTCAGCGCCCTCAACGCATGAAGCGGGGTTGAGTTTGAGGGTTTAGGGCCTTAAACCTTCCCAAAGGGTCCAAAGTACCTATAGAGTAGACTGCGGGGGGTTCTATATTAGGAATTACTACTGTGATTTGGGGAAGTATCCCTCATCACAGTACCTGGGACCTTTTGGGCGTACAGCTTAACCCCGTTTAAGACCCCAAACCTGGAACCTTACACGGTTGCACAAGAGTCCAGACTTCAGGGTGCAAGGCTTTTGGGGGGTTCTGTCCCAGGGCTCCAGTTCCCTAGTGTAGGTTCGGACAACAGATGACCGGCCCAAATAGGGTAGCCCCACACCCTAGACCCTAAGAACCTAAACCTGAATCTAAGCCCTAAACCCTAAGCCCTAAACCCTAAGAACTTAAGTCTTAAACCTCTTCAGATTCCCACGAGGATCCTCTAAAACCCTACTAAAGAGCGGAAGCCTTCTATTATAGAAGCCTCGAAGATTCCTTCCAGAACAGCAGCCTCAAACCTTCTATTCTGGAACCCTTGTAGAAGCCTTCTGTGACCCTAAACCCTAAACCCCAAACCCTGAACCCCAAGCCCTAACCTCCAAAGCGAGCACCCAAAGCCCGAATATACGGGCCTTAGTAATTTCAATACGGTTGTGGGGTATATTCTACGATAGTCATAACAAGGAAACCTCAACAGTAGTACAACCCTTATAATCCCCTTTAAAGGCGTCCAGGGCCCCTCTAACCCCGAGCCTCCCGCAGGCTTCTCATGAACTCGCTGCGCTCGAGCCGCGCCTGAGCTCATCGGAATAGCTTCAGAACAGACCCGAAGGAGCCCACAAGGGATCCATACGGATTCTATGGGTCCCTTAAAAAAGGGATCTATAGGGATTCTATAAGGGTATAGGGTTTAGAGCCTACTTGGAGGTTCCTGGGTACGGTAGAGTCCTTATGGCCCGTAGTAGCGGGCCTTTGTTTCAAGGTTGGGGTATATTAGAGGATACTTTGGGGCGTCTAGGGATTAGAGTTTAGGGATGTTCCTTGACCCCAAATCTCAAACCCCTAAACCCTGGGAAACCCAAACCCCTAAATCCAAAACCTCAAACCCTGACCCCCAAACCCTAAACCAAAAGCTGATGTTCCTTAACCCAAAATCCCAAACCGTGATCACCAAACCCTAAATCCAGAATCCGACCCGCTCCCTGTCCCTACGGGTCCATGTGCCCACATAGTATACCTTAACCTACCAAACCCTACTCTTTTGTAGGTTGCGATTATGAATTAATATGGAATTTATCAGAAAAGTAGGTTCTTGTAGGTTAGGGTATGCTTTGGCCTTAAAGAAGTACCTAAAGTAGTCCCTAAAGAGGTACTTCGGGGCCAAAGTATATACTATTTGGGTACATGGACCCTCAGGGTGTGCCGGGACCTTCTTTCGCTCCAGCTCCTTCTCGGCCTTTTCCTGGCAAGCAGAGAAGGCTGCAGATAATTTCGGATTTAGGGTTTAAGGTTTACGATATGAGGTTCAGGGCTTTGGTTGCAGGCTTGGGGTTTAGGATTCACATTTTAGGGCTGGCAGTGTAGGCTTGAAGGCTTAGTGTGTTAAGGATGATTCTTACTTTTTGACTTGTAGCTTGCCTGAATCGAAAGGGCACGAGGCGAGTCATGCTCCACTGACTTTAATGTAGGAACCGCTTGAACGCGCCCCGGCTCTTGAATTGATGAGTTCTTATTACGGATTCTGCTGTTTAGGGGTTGTCGAGCCGTATCTTACTCAGGTGCCGACACGACCAGAGATATCAAGTGTTAGTTCACAGCTGGGTTTGAGAGCTTGGGGCTTGATGGGCTTAGGATCTGTTGTGGTTTGAGTGTCTGCATCGATGTTGCTACAGTTTCGGAACTTGCGAAATTGAGGGTATCACGCTGCAGGCTGCAGAAGGGGTGTCTTGCACCCTCTAAACAGCACAACGGAAACCGGCACCATGTAGCAAAAGGATGGCCTCAATTCAAGGACTCCCAAAACCAGACCCCATGACACGTATCGGGTTGCTGGTTTAGGGTCCAGCAGCCGGAACCCTGAAGTTGAGGCTTTACCTTATACCCCAAAGCGGCCTACCTCTTGAAGGACTTATATGGAAGTTTCCGAACATTGGGGATCTTAATAAATGGTACCCTGAATACTAATATAAATACTAATATAAATACTAATATAAGGACCCCCAGAGTAAGGTACCCCCTAATTTTCGGAAACTCCCATATGAGGAGATGAGGGCTGCCTGCATGGAGACGTGATCGCCGGTGTACTCCACCTCCCGCGCAAGTCAAGGCTTTACGTAAGCCTCTAGCTCTCGGGATGATGTTCAGGGCTTAGGGGGCAGGTTTCGGGTGTAGGGGGTAGGTTTAGGGTTTAGGGCCTAGGGTTTTTGGATTTAGGGTGTTGGCTTAGGGTTTAGGGTATGGGGCTTAGGGGGCAGGTTTAGGGTTTAGGGTGTAGGGTTTACGGCCCCTAGAGTGGTGAGGGGGAGGGGGCCTTGAAACCAGAAGGCCCTGGCAAGTGCGCTCACATAGGGGTTCGGGCCTTCGATGTGCAATGTGGGGTCTAGGTTAGGCACCCTAAACCCTAAACCTTTAGGGTTCAGGGTTCTGCTGGAAGGGCTCGGGACCTAGGCAGAGTCTTTAAACCATGGCTGAAGATGGCACCTTTCCCTTAGCCTTAAACCACTCACTGAATCCGCAAACCCTGCATCCCAAACCATGAATCCCGCCCCTAGACCTCAATCGTCTTGGTACTCTCAGTCTTCGGACTTCGTGTTTCCGTATATACAAGTGATAAGGTGCTCGGCACAAGTAACATGGAGGCCTTAATGACTAGAGTAGGGTTTACTATACTTATTACAACATTGTTGTGCGAAGTATAGTACATGGAAACCCCAACATACCAACGTCAATTAAGCCCCCATATCAACTCACCTGTCCAGCATCCTAGAAAACCAAAGGTTAACGTTTGGGTCTACTACTAAGAACCCTCACTGAACCCTCATAGAACCCTTATAGTGTCCATTATAGATAGAACCTCTTACAGTATACTGTATACCCCTTATAGAATTAATTACCCCTCATATATCCCCAGAGCGAAAGATAATGTCATCTGGGTGCCATGAGCCAGAGCATGCGACCCCAAGAAGCTACGAAGCCCTACAGTCGAGGATTGTTACCAAGCGCCTGTGCGATCTTCGGCGGCTTGTAGACGCCCTCCTCCTGGTCTTAGGGTTTAGCCTTAGGATTTAGGGTTTAGGCTTTAAAATCTGAACCCTGAACCCTAATAGGGTTTGGAGGCCTTTCTGGCGACCCTCACACTCAGCTGCAGGCTTCCCCTGCATATCGAAACTCTGCGTTTTTGAGGAGAACGTTTTTCATCAGAGGGTTCAGAATGTAGAAGACGGCGACTGTTTAGAAGCTGAAGATAGCAGGATACTTATTGGTCAAGAAAGGACCCCCAAACTCCTATTACGAACCACCCAAGAGCCCCAAACTCAAGAAAGGAGCACCTAGTCTCCGGACACCACGGCGCTAAGCCCCTGCCAACGAATACAAAATCCTATCGTGCCCCTCTACTGAACAGTTACTTGGAGGGTCTGGGGACTTAGTAGGCTCCTTTAAAGGGGATTCTAAGGGTTCCTTTAAAGGGCTCTATAAGGGTACTATAGGGTTTAGGGTTTAGGGGTTTAGGGGTTAGTAAGTAGGTAGTAAGTAGACTTATAAGTACCCTAAAAAAAAAACCCTAACTGGGGTTATGGTACTTATAAGTCCCTAAAATAACCAGTTACCAAGTCCCCCGACCCTCCAAGTACGGTATGGGGGTTTAAGTGCGGAACCCGAACCACCAAACCATGAATCCCAAAAAATGAACACTACTTAACCCTGAAAAACCTACCTTTTTAGGGGTCCTTATTACGATTTCTTTATATAAGTCCTTAAAAGGGTAGGTTATTCGGGGTCAAGGTAGACCTTGAACCCTAAAGCCTCAGCCCGTTACTCTAGAGCCTGGACACTCAACTTAAACTGAAGCCCGCGCCTGCTTCTCTTCTGGAGCCTCCTCCGCCTCATCATCCTCACATTTCGGGCTTCGCTTGTTGTGGGTTTAGGGTCTAGGGTGTCCCTGGGGGTTACCTTAAAAAAAGGATCCTAGATATTAGGATCCTTATTCTAAAGACCCCCAAAATAGTTGAGGGCACAGGTTTACGTCTCCTGGGATCCTTGACTAGGTGTCAAGTTTAACAGCCCCCAAGATAACTCATAGGGCTCTATGTTAAGCCATAAAGGATATTACAAATCTTCCCAAATCGATACCTAGTTGATGATGGACTTAACCTCAAAACATGCTGGTTGCCCATGCATGGGCAGATAGAAGTAGGCCCATGAATCACGAGTTAAGGCGCCCCTAGCGCTGAACTTTGCGTAGTCCTCTTACCCTCTAAACGAAGTTCCCCAGCAGGCAAGGTTTTCTAAACCCTGAACCCTAAACTCTGAACCTCAAACCCTAAACCCTGTGGAGTCGCTAAGTTGAAGCAGAGCCCAAATACTTAGCCGAAGGCCCTTTGGAGTCGACCCCTTTTGCCTTTGCGAGGGAGTACACTGAGATTGCACATCGGAGAGGTTGGTCAGTTTCACGCTGGTACTTCGGGAACTGGGCGCGCGCGATGGCGATCTGTCCGTGAAAGGTGACTGCATCCTTCTTGACACGAGTATGTGCAGATCGTTGGTCCACGGCGTTGATTCGAAGTCTTCCGAAACCTGACACTTTTCCTACTTGTCCAATATTCTGGGGAACTAAAGGTTAACCTTATAGAGTATCTTGGGGTCATATTGGGATTACGTACCCCAAGCCAGGTTCTAGGTCAGTTGCCTACTCTACTACTAGGCTCTTTCGTTTTCCCGATGCGTGCTGGCAGGTTGCCCAGCCCCTAAACTTAAAGTGCGTGTCCGACCACCCGATACTTGTAGGTTCATGGGTAGTTATAGGCGGCGATACAAGTAGGGTAACTGTATTATACATGTATAACCCATACTAGGGGACTGACAACGCCACGTATAGCTACCCAGGAACCTCCAAGTAGAAATTCATTCTGAGCCCTAACTCCTACGTACGGGCGCAAAGCATGTTCAAGGCCAAGTTTGGGTACTGTAACCATACAGTAGCAGCTTGTAGTAATGGTACTTTCAAGAGCACTTTGTATCTGTATCATACATTACTACCCAACTGTTACTGAGTGGGGCACAGAAACCAAAACCAAGTTGCTGAGCTCCCTATCTTCCATTTCTGATAGGATTGTGCTTCTTAAGCCCTCACTTAAACCCCAATTCTGATAGGACTGCTGTTCCAAAACCCCAATTCTGAAAGGATTAGGGCTCCTAACACCAAAAACAGGATAAGGGTTCCTAAGACCCAGAATAGGATCAGGGTTCCTAAAACCGGAAATAGGATTAGGGTTCCTACAACCTAAAACCTGAATCTGAGAGGACTACTTTTCGGGGCGTTAATAATTAGAATCGTTTTCGGGTCCCACTATACTATATTTACAATAAGGAACCCCGAAATTAGTATTGCTAAATATTTAGGCCCTAGACTAGGTAAACTCCAGGAGGCTGACGGTTACTTTCGCACCTGCAAAAAGACCCTGAACTCTTCCCCAACAACTTTGCCCCTAAACCTCCAAACCGCAACCCTACACTCTACCAGGACCCTGTAAAACCTTCCTTTTTAAGGTTGCCTTTGATGACTTCCATATATAAGTTCTAAAAAATAGGTCATTTTGGGGTTAAGGTAAACCCTAAACCCCCTGAACCCTAAACCGTAACCCTCAACTCTGAACCCTAAACCCCCTAAACCCGAAACCCATAAACCCCAGACCCCTAAACCGTAACCTTCCCTGCAAGTCCCTGCGCTTCACCTCCTCATCTCCCACGGTCATTGCCAGCTTGCCCGGCCGCAAGGCCTGAGTTCGGAATAAGGGTTTAGGGGTTTAAGGTTTAGGGGTTTAGGGGTTTAGGGTTTAGGGGTCTTGGGGTTTAGGGTTCAGGGTATAGGGTTTAGGGTTTAGGGGTTTTTGGTTTAGAGTTCAAGGGTTGAGTGGTTTAGGGGCTTAGGGTTCAAGGTTCAGGGGCTTAGAGGTTAGGGGTTGGGGCTTCGTTTAGTATTTAGGGTGCAAGGCTCAGGGGTCTAGATTTTAGAGGTTCAGGGTTTAGGGCTCAGGGGTTCTGCAGATCCCTTATAATGTGGTAACTTACTTAACCTAACCTCCTTAACAGGAACCCAGCTTCGGTGCAAAATGGCGTGGACCTCCTCACCTCCAACATGCTTCTTCTTGTAATTACTCCTGAAACCGTGACGGACTGCTGCAGGCGCTAGAACAAAACTATACAGGCCGAAATAATGACCAGCATTATTCGCAGCGTTATTATGTAAGGCCGTTCTATAAAAGCTGCATTCGGGCTTAAACATGACTAAGGTTCGGGGCTTGTCTTGGGGATGCGAGGAAAGCAAAGCACAAATTCTATAACGGGCTTCATTCAGGCGATGCCGTGAATTTCGGTCTTCTGAGGGAAATGCAAGATCCTGAGCTCGAAGCGACCGTTCAGACCTTACTCCGTAAGCCCCTTTGGCCGCAAATCACAATGAGTATTATAAGAATGAAAACCAGTTCAACTGGAACACCCAGCATAAACCCTATGCTCGTCAGAACCGAATCTTTGATCCCTGAGCTCCATGCGTGGGCATCCGGCGCACCTGACTCGAGCTGGCAACGTTGCTAAGTAACCCATTCCTGAAGGACGAAATGTACCCTCAAAGGGTCTAGGGAAGTTTAGGGTTCAGATACCATATAGTTAAGGTTCTGACCAACCCATGAAAAGTCTCTCACAGCTAGGCAGGTTGCACAATTTCCTGAAACGAACATGGACCTGCAACTCCCCGCCCCTGCACAATCGCCGCGTAAACCTTGTCCGAAGCGTGATCTTACTCTCTCTCTCCGTTCATTCTGGACAAGCCTCTCTCTAAATTATCTTCTCGTCCACTTTCAGCTGTATCTCCAGATGCCAGTCTATTTCTACTCAAGCTGCCCATCTCCTGACGCTCATCTGAACTTCACACATGACCGGCACAGCTACAAAACTAGCGCCTACAGGTTCTCCTGACGGAACAGTACACACCCTTCCTGTCCGCAGCTGTCGAAACTTTATTCACTGCGAGCGTTGTGGCCCCATATGGAATCCTGAAACCTAGATGTCTCCAGTGACAGCATTCCGGAGAGCTGCTGCTTCGAGGTTCATGGGTAGTTATAAAGTGGGGTTATAAGTAGGATTTTTCTAAAGTCATATAACCATATATAACCCATAACAGGGACTTCGAACTCCACTTAGAACTACCCATGATCCCCCAAGCAAACCTCTAAACCCTAAACGCCCTATGCCCTATAACCCTAAACCCCGACACTCTAAACTCTCAGAACTGCAGCGAAGCTCCGACTTTGAGCTTCTACATACTCGGAGGTTCATGGGTAGCTAAAATTACGTGGGGTTATAAGCCCCTTAAAACGTGAGCTGTAACTATATATACATTGCCCTACTTTATAACCCCACTTATAACTACCCATGAACCTCCAAGTAAAGTCGAGCGGCGCGCAGACGTTGGGTATCTCGCCGCGCCAAACCCCCATACTGCATCCCTAAGAGTCCAAGTACCCAAGTGTCATATACTCTCCAAAACAGTAGATTGCAATAGGGGCCTTAATAATTAGAACAGGGTTTTGGGGCCCGTTATACTATGTCTATAATAAGGAACCCCCAAATAATGTAATAGAAAATTATTTAGGCCCCTATAGTACATAGCCACTCTCCCAAACCCGGATCCCTAACTATCAGGTCCTTTGGACCCTTTGGGCATGTAAACACCCGAAAGCTAGGTGTTTGTAAGGAACTTACATTCTGTAAGTTACCATAAAAATGAGACGTGTCATTTACTATAGCCCATTACTATGGTACTTTAATTCAACTACATTCCACAAAACAAGACCTCAGATAAACTGAACCCGTTTTGCTGTAGCCACCCCTGGTGGGCAGGCCGTTTGTAGGTAGTTGAAGCCAGATTTACATGGGTCTCGATGCAGACTTCTGTTTTGCACATTCTTTTTGGGCTGGCATTTAATTTAAAGGAAACTTCGAGGTTCATGGGTAGTTATCAAGTAGGGTCATAATTACAAGCTCCTTGATATGGGTTATACTTATAGACTTCTAGTTACCCGAGTTATAACCCTTATAACTACCCATGCACCTCCAAGTAGTGAAAGTTTCCAGGCACTCCAAACCCTTATAATAGAGCCCTTTAACGGAGCCTAGTACCCGGATAGCAACCCTGTAAAGGAACCCTTAGGTCCCCCTACCCTAAACCCTAAACCCCTAAACCCCAAACCCCAAACACTAAACCCTCATTCCCTAAACCCCTAAACCCCAAACTCTAAACCCTAATCCCTAAACCCTTATCCCGCCCGAGCACCTGCGAGCTGTTCCGCTTTCTTGGCATCCGACCACTGCAGGAGCTTATTCATCTGATACCTGGGTACGGGAGGGGTCCTTAACGAGTTATAGGGTTTAGACCCTACTTGGAGATACCTGGGTTCGGTGTATGATATAATTCAGGGATTAGGGTTAAAGGGTTTAGGTTTCAAGTTATGAATCCGATAGTGTACGTAGGGTCGTTAAGGTAATGCAGGAGCTTATTCAGCTGATACTATACCTGGGTAGGTCTCTAAACCCTTTTCAAGGCCCCTTAAAGGGCTCTATAAAGGGGTTCTATCAGGGGGATTTCGGGCTGCTTATTCATCTGGTAGCTGCTAGGGTTGATGAGATTATTCAGGGTTTAGGCTTTAGGGCTCAGGTTCAGGGCTTAGCCAGTCATCTTACAGTGCTCCCGCATGAAGGGCTCAATGACATCAGTGTTTTAAAAAAAAAACGTTATTTTTAACCTTTCTTAAAAAAAAAACGTTTTTTAAACAAAGTGTTTAAAAAAACTTCTGCCATGAAGGATTTCATTTCTCGCATGAGCGGCCTGGGCAGCTGCTCTCCCTTTTGCCGTTTTCATTACTTGGAGGGTCTTTAGGGGACTTAGTAAGTAGGTAGTAGGTAAACTTATAAGTACCGTAAAAGAGGCCCTAATTGGGGCTATGGTACTTATAAGTCCCTAAAATAACCAGTTACTAAGTCCCCCGACCCTCCAAGTACCGATTGGCCCCACACCGCACAAGGTGAACGTGACTGCCTCCTTTCCGCACTGAAACTGCGGCCATTTGGGGTCTATCGTATCAGTGAAAACATGGCCCATTCCAGGCATCACAATGAGCCATTCCGTGGTGTCTTCGTGTCTCTCTCTCTCTCTCTCTCTCTCTCTCTCGTTCTTGTGCATTTGCTGGTTCGGTCCCTCAATCACAGCGGTTTGAAGTTTGAAGGGGTACCTAGCCTGCTGTACCCGCGCGTGCCCCGTCATGAACTTACAACCTGCGAAACCAACTCCTAAAGTCAGAGTTTAGGGTTTAGGGTAGGGTTGGGGACCCATCTGAACAACTGAAGAACTCTTGGTTAGCAGCCGGGTCACTGCAAACGCTGATCCACTGGCTTCAGCTTCCTTGTGGCAAAAAGTTGACCGAGGTGTGATATAGATAGAGGCCTGCATGATTGGAATATCGTTAGGGGCGGGTTATTCATTTCTTTACAAAACAACTTTTAAGCATAGTGCGGAACGTTAAGGACAAATTCCGCTAATTGTTCCGACCCCTATATTACCTATGGCTTTCGGAGTTCCGAAGGACGTTGCTGCGTCCCTGGAAAGAAGACAGGATTCTTTTCATGGGCTGTACTTTTACAGTTTGCCCAAGCAAGGAAGTAACAAGGATCCAGACTCTTGAAGAAAACGATGACGACGACGCTATTTTTGATGATGCAGTAAGCCTTAGATCCTACACCCCTAAACCCTAAAAGGATAATGATGAGGAGACCTATGGCTCTGCTCATCACCCCGGACTGTTGGGGAAGGTTTCGCTGATTTGCGGTGTTAGCGTGGGGATTTTAGGGTTTAAGGTTCAACGGTTTGGGGTGTAGGTCCTGCTGGCTCGCCTACCATGCTTGTCAACCCAGGTTTCGGTAAGCAAATCGAAACCCCTAAACCCTAAGGCTCCATGTACCCACATAGTATATGCTATGGCTACTTCAGGGTACAAGTATATACTATATGGCTACATGGAGACTTTGGGAAATCCCTCAGCCATCAAAATCGAAACCCTAAGCCCTTAAACCCTCGAGCGCTAGACAGAAAATCCTAGTCCTAGTCCTAAGCCCTAAGCTCCGAAACCGTACAGCCCTAGTCTATAGGGTGCCAAAACACATCTGCGTCTGCAACTGAGAGACTCTAGAAGGGATCTGATCCAGAGCAGCCGAGGCCTCATGAAAGGCTTAGGGTTTCAGAAAGGGCTACCATGGGGCCTGCGTTTGGGACACATCACGTTTCGCGGTTTCGCAGCGATTTGTTTCACATCATCTTGCTATCCTATGCTTGTATAAACAGTTCTGGGTTATTTACTGTATTGTTCGTACTTGTAGACATTTATGTCGCTTATCAATAATGTTGTTGTTTATAAGCAGGGCCTGTGTTTATAAACAGTGTCTGTGTTTATAAGCATGGCTTGTGTTTATAACCAGGGCTGGCGTTTACAAACTAAGATGAAAGAGGGGGGGGGAGGGGGGGGGGGGGGTGGGGCTGACATTTTGAGGCTACCCCCTCCCCCCCCCTCCCCCCTCCCCTCTCTCTACTGCGTCCCGTCCCCACCCCCAACCCCAATCCCACTCACCATGCACATAACACACCAAAAACCAAGCGCGCGCTGGCACCATTTCCACAAACTTTACCACTTTGTCTATCCTCCTTGGAAGAACACGTCGAGTTGCTGTATTTCTCGCACACAACACAACTTCGTTCGCCGATGTTGTGAAAACGCTGGTAATTACAATGTCTTTTTGCGTCTGAAGTGTATGAGTTTATGCTTTGTGAACAAGTTGTATAGCATCACCCTTCCCTGTCTATGAACAAATGGTTTGTTCAGGGCACGTGAGCTGCTTACAGAAGTGCTGTATCTTCTCACGGTTCACAGGGTCTCGGCTGTACACAGACCGTCGCGATGTACACATCAAGGACAGTCGTAAGGATGGAAGGCGGTTTAGGGTTTAGGGACCAGAAAGAACCCTCAAAGCCTTATTTTGACATTCCATCATAGTTTCACTCTTCAATAGAAGCTAAATTCTGGCAATATCCGACATTGCTACTGCCAGCACTACAGCAGTTTTTTGGGGAAATTGCGTTCTTTACTTCGAGATCAGCTTATGTGACTTATGTGACACTGATGTATTGTATGTATGTCATAATGCAAGGCTTCCGAGCCTTTGCTTCCTGGATATGACGATATACACTGTGTGTGCTGTTGTGTTTCGCTGATTTCCGCTATTCGCTTGCCTTGTGCTGTTGATTTCGACGAACGTGGTGATACATCCATATTTTGAAAAATTGTGGATCTCGACAAAAACGCATCTTCGACTGGGAAAACCATGATGCAGAGTGTATGCGAGTTGAGGACCGTGTTAATGTGAAAGTGGTGGGGTGGCAACTGGGAAAACAACTGTTCAAGGGTCATCGCAACCTAAATCACATGAACCGAACAGAAAGCTATGTATTGCTGTGAAACTGGAAGGCCCTAGGCTCCAAATACGTAGCACTGCGTTACAATAGAAACTAAATCTAAAACACACTACTCACTGATTTGTGTACATACAGGCAGTGTGCACCCCTGACACAATGTGTGTTGTAGCACTGCATAAAACATACTATGTATGTACATGCTCCCAGTTTGCAGCAGTAAATTCCTGCGATTGTCAGCATTGTTGTATACTGTTGTGAAGCCCCGCATAGGTAGGTAATACTGCAATCTTCAAACTGGGAAGAAAGTGGAAACTCACGGACATGTGCCAACTCAACACACAAGGAAATCAGAACACGGCGGGCGACACGGCTCCAAAGATTTTCGAGAGTCCAAGTTGTGGAAACAAATGCACGGTGCGTGAAATACTTTGTCTTCTTTCGTTTCGCTCGGATGTGGCCGGGTGTCCACTGCGTACAGGGTGCCATAATTAGCGATTATTATTCGTACCATGACCATGCAAGCACATAAACAGTGCATGTGCTCATGTAAGTTTAGCTGTTGAATATATACATGTGCACGTGTATTCGAGTGTATGCATTTTATATGTTCATAGGCCCTCATGGCCTTTTACAAGCAATTGCAACCACACACACATGTATAAATACATATATATATATATATATTTATATATATACACATACGTACGTACATATATGCACATGCATAGGTGCTTCGTATAATGCTAAAACGCCAAAGACGCCCAAAAACATAAAATGCAAAACCCAGGCCCCATGACAGCCCGCTCTCTAGGGTTTAGGGTTTAAGGGTGTAAGGGTTTAAGGGTTTTAGGGTTTTGGGGTTGGAGGTTGAAGGCTGTTGGGGTTAAGGTTCTTGGACCTTTGAATTTGGGTTTTTGCTTTTCTCGGTTTTGGGGGCTTAGGGTTACGGGTTTTTGGGCTTAGGGCTTTACGGTAGTACCTTAGGGTCCAGGGTTTGTGGGTTTTCTGTTTAGGGTTGTGAGGAATGCGAGTAGGATGACAATAGTTGCCCTGCCGACGGTCCTCCGCAGACGCAGAAGATAGCTAAAGCATAAAGCTGCGACACTAAGCATGGCGCATAGTTTTGAATTGGCGGTTTAGAGTCTGGAGTGTGCAGTTGCTTGTGAACGGGCTGGGAGTTAGCACGGGAACTGTTTTGGCTTCGGGTTCGGGGTGCGTCGAAGGTTTCGGGGTGCGAGGGTGTAGGGCTGCTCGCTTCGAAAGCTTCTGGATCCATTATTCACCAAGCAAGCAGGAGTTTAGGTCAAGGCTTTGATGTGGGCAGCGGGTTTTCATGCACCAGCGGGTGCTCATGCTTGTCGGAAATGGCTTTAGCCAGTTTAGAAGCCGTCCGGGTTTTGACTTCAGGGCTCCTTGGAAGCGAATTCAGACGAAATCTTGCCAAACATCTGGAAGCCTTGTAACATCCTCTCCAGAAACTTGAACCCGGAAATTAAGCCTCTACACCTTCAACGTGATACAACGCTTTAAAACCTTCAGACCTGCCAACAGCCCTCGGCCCTAAACACACGAATGTCCCAAAGCCGGCAGCTTGAAGTCTACTAAGAGCGGGCCGAGGCGTGGACACGACCGGATGGGACTGGACTGGTACCCCTCCGCACATGAGTTTACCGCTTAGGGTTTAGGGTTTAGGGTCGAGGGTTTATGAGGCTTTGTAGAGTGCCATGGTGCTTCAGAGGGCTTTGCAAAGCAAAGCCTGTTGCTAGGGCTGAAAGGTTTTCAGGGTTAAGGGTTTAGGGGCTCTATAGAGTTGCATAGGGTTTGTAGGGCCTGCAGCGGTTTACAAAGGGCTTTTGTTGAGTTGAAAGGCTTTCAGGTTTCAGGGTAGTGTGATTCCCAACGAACCCCTTCTAGTCTAGGTGGGGCTTTTGAAGCCTTTGAAAAATAGTAGTAAATAAGATCCTCTTAAGCCCAATAAGGGAAAACATAAAATGTCCCAAAGCCCTACCTAGTAGTTTACCCTGCTACGCTCCAACGAGTTCAGGACGGAACCCCTACCCAGGGGCCCCAAAAGGTAGTTCCTTTTTTTGGGTGTGTCCTTTTTTGATTAGGGATTCTAATATACTACCCAAAAAGGAACTACTTTGGGTCCCCTGGGTACACACTGAAACCTAGCCAACCTCAAGCCTAAAAAATGCGTAGGCCCTCAACCCGAAAGTCTCGGTCTTGAAACCCCAAATCCAAACGCCCAGGGGTGTATAAGGGTTTTAGGACCCTAAACCCAGACTATAGACAAAGGCACCTTTGACCTTCAAGAGCAGGTAGTAAGTCAAAGCGATGAGGTAGCTCAGAAGCAGCTGAACCTGCGGACATGGTCCGTTTGAGGGCTTAGGGGTCGAAGGCTAGGGGTTGAGGGCTTTGGGTTTAGAGGTTTAGAGTTTAGGGAGTTTAGGGGTTTAGGGTTTAGGGGTTCAGGGGTTTAACGTTCAGGGATCCTTTTGGTGGAGTTGGGGATCCCTAGCTACAGCACAAAATCCGGAAGCCAAAGTCCCAAGATCTGAGATCTTAAACAGAAGATCCCAAAGAGCCCAATACCCTTTGAGTTCCGAATATACCTGAACATATAAGGGCTTTGTTGCCACGGTTTGAAGTATATTCTTTGATGAAGGCGTCTGCTGGCTTTGGCTTCCGGGGTCAGGGCGGAGGCTTTTGGCTGCCAGATTGGAACTGTGTTGCAATGATTTCGGTCTCAGCCACCCAAGCAAAGTGAGCCTTGGCACAATATGGGAGTTCCCGAAACTAGGGGACCCTAATGTAGTACCCGAATAGTGGGATCCTTGTTATAAGGACCCCAGACTAAGTTTACCCCTACTTTTCGGAAACCCCCATATACGGTTGCAGGTCCGCCGACATTTCCCCCAATCGTCGCAGTTCGAACTCTGGAACCTTCACTTCCACGTGAGACGCCCCAAACAGTCAGTCTCCGGTATCAGGATGAGCCCCCCAAACCTAAAGCCATGAACGGTGATAAACCCTAACCGAACCCCTAAACCCTTAATCCCTTAGCCAATACTACAATCCCAAACCCCAACCCAAGAACGTCGCAATTAAACCCTAACCTCCGAACCCTGAACCCATTAAAAACAAAACTACACCCCTAGATCCTAAACCCCGTAAACCCTTGACCCCTCAACCCTAAGCCCTCAATCCTTACCTTTGGTTAGTACATAGGGAATGGAAGAATGGTAATACAATTACAACTACCGTGGTACAATCATAACTACCATTATATTACTACCGTTCCCTACTAACCAAAGGTAAGAATCACGGCACCTTCATCTCCACGTACGCCGCGGGCCCGCGAGAAGATAGCGGGCCCTGCCATCCGAGATGGACGAGATGTGGGGCTTCTTTAATGGTGGGAGGCCAAAAGGGGGTGTTAAGACTCTTGGGGTAGGGATTCCTTAAATATGAACCCTATCGTGGGAACCCTAATCCCTACTAAACCCCCATAGGCTAAAACCCGTTTTGGCCTCCTATGATCTAAGTTAAGGTTTGACGGTTTAGGGCTCAGGGCTTAAATAGGGCTCCATCCATTGAGCATTTGAGGGTTCAGTTCTAGGCTGGAGAGTTTTGGGCTTAAGGTTCAGATGGGTTTAGGATTTATGTGGCTGCTCTGGGCTATGCAAGGTCTTCACCTCCGCACATTTGAGGCAAGCACCCAGGGCAACGACTCTCCGTTTTCTGCAGGGCATGGCTGGGGGCTCTGAGGGAGGTTTGGCCTGAAAAGTTTGAAGTCCATCGAGGGGATCTCAGCCAAGACACCAGGCTTTCAACCACGACACCTTCCTTACAAAGCCACCCCTAAACCCTCTGAACTTCAAAACTCCCAATCCTACAGCATACAACACTAATGTAAGGGCCTTATTTATCAGAATTTAGTTTTGGGGCCCATTCTACTATAATTGTCATAAGGAGCCCCAGACTAATATTGGTAATTGTTATGGCCCCTATAGTACTTCAAGCATGGAGCTGATCATCACAAGTCTCCGTCCTTCGAACAAATTGTTAGCTGTCCAGTTTCCTAGGGGAACTGAAAATTTACCGCTCAAGATTATGTACGGCATGTACAACCCTCGAAAACCTTTCACCCCCCCCCCTGCCCATAAAAAGGCTAAAGGGCACCTACTCGACTTCTAAGTAGTATTGCTGCTCGCAGACTTGACCGGTCTTTCGGGATTTCCTTCTCGCCGGGGTCTTCGCAAACACCAGATGACCCAAGGGTAAAAGGAGGGACCCTTAATAAGGACCCCTAGGTATATACCCTTAATATAGCTATGATATACCCATTATATAGCCCCATTATAGGCTAGGGGTCCCCATTGAGGGCCCCTCCTTTTCCCCTTTGAGATGAAGAAGGGTGAGGCGATCTGGGGCTGAGGATGGCTAAGTTTAAAGTTTAGGCTTGAAGGCTTAGGATCTAGGATTTACGGTTCAGGATGATTTAGGAGATAGACTCAGGATGGTTTAGACATTAGAGTTTCGGATTTATAATCAAGGTTTGGTGGCTGGAGATCCCGCATATGGGCTACCGGGCTGCTCGCCAAACTTCAAGCAGAATGTTGCGCAAGGGGTCGACAAGCCAACCCCGGCACAAACCACGAAACATGGAGTTGGCTTGCGGCTGAGACACTGCCACTAGGATATCCAGTAACCTAAGAATAAACAGGCCTCTCTTTTTGGTATTGGGTAACTTTATAAGGAACCTAGGACTACAAAAAGGGAATAAGGGTACTACTGGGCATCCTAGGCTGAGAAACTGCCATGTTCGATGGTAGAATGCACAAAACTCAGCTTCGGAGTCTTGGGCATGGAAAACAGCGGGGAAAATCCATGCGAATTCCTTCGATGATGACCCGAAGCGTCCAAGTCACGGTTTACGGTGTCAAGGTTTCGGGAGTAGGTTCTTGTAGATTTAACCTATAAGGTTTTGGTTTAGGGTTTAGGGTTTAAGATTTGATCTAACAAGGGCTTAGAGTGATTGCATTAATTAGGCTTTAGACTGATTGGCTCGGTGATTGAAGGTGTAGTTTGGATTCAGGGCTCAGGGTTTAGGACCTGCTGCATGGGTGTTAAACTCTAAACACTGAACCCTAGAACCTTAAGCAAGCCCTGAACCCTAAACCCCTAAGCCCCGAACCCTAGCACTTAAAGCTTGGCTCCGAAATCGCGATACAAGCAGGATGGTCAAACTAAAAGAAAGGCACACCACTTGAGAAGATCATATACGGTACTCGCTCTGTTCCGCTACCTGCATGGGTACGCTGTACATACATTTATGCATGTATGGATGCACTTATGTATGCATCTACACATGTATGCTTGTATGCACGTAGGTTGGTAGGTTAGGTAGGTAGGTAGGTAAATACATATTCATGTGTATGTTTGTTTGTGTATGTGTGTATGTGTGTATGTATATATATATATATATATATACATACGTATATGCTGACCTATTCCTTTATACGAGTGTAACTTGGCTGACTTCTGAACCTCTCCTAAAAGTTAAACTGTCAGTCTACTTGCTATAGTTCATATAGAAACCTCAGGAAATTCGAGTCCTAAGACCCAACCACAACAACACCAAGTAAACATACACATGCGCGGTTGTCAAAATTATGGCCCCTTTTTCGGGTGCCCTACATATTAGGTGACTTATTATATTATGGATCCAAAAAGGGACCCTAATTTTGACGACCACGCACATACATGCAATGGTTGGGCGGCGCTGATAGGAGGCCAAAAGTGGGGTTTAAGATTCTTGGGGTAGGGGTTCCTGAATAATGAACCCTATTATGGGAACCCTAATCCCCTGCAAAACCCAGCTAAAACCCCTTTCGGCCTCCTACGGTTGATGACATAAATCCTGCATTACTCATAATAAGGGATATACCAGAATTCCCTCAGTTGAGGGCAAAGTTTAGGGTCCTCAAAGTCATGCGGGCTTTATATCATCAACAGTATGATGCGTATCTGACTTGGGTCTTTCGGATCGCCGGCCCTTTGTTCCGGCTGACGGCTTCGCAAGCGGGGCCAGGCGCTGCCGAACACTTGGGTTCCTTAGTGCTCCTTTACAGGGACCTATAGGAAGGGATTCCTTTAACGGAAGTATAAGGGTTCCGTAAAATTCCTGTACAAGAACTGTAAGGGTTTCCTGTAAGGGATCTATACTACAAGGGTGTTGTTTAGGGGTTTGAGTGCTTGAGGGTTTGGGGGTTAAGGTGGTTTAGGGTTTTCAGAGTGGAGAGAATGGCTCGAACCAAGTCTTCGGTTGTAGGGCCTTGCATTTAGGGCTTCGGCGCAGAGTTTTGGGTTGAGTGGGGCTTAGGGTTTAGGGGTTTAGGGTTTAGGGTATAGGGTTGAGAGTTTAGGGGTTTAGGGGTTTAGGGTTAAGGGTTTTCGGGTTTAGGGTTTTAGGGGTTAGAGTTTAGGGGTTTAGGGTTTAGGTGGGCTTGTGGCGCGCTCCTTACATGCACCTACAAGAGCTATTCGACGAATTGGCAGGCACATCGTCCGCAAACTCGATGAGTGGGAAGACCTTGGCAGCCAGGGTATGTCATTAAGTCATTAATGTGACTATTTCCACTCGAAGCCGGCTGTAAAAATCAAAACCGGCCCTAACCGTCCAAACCCCTGCATTCAGAATATGATCCTGAACTTGTCGAAGGACTTCTTCCATAGTCTTCCTGCACTACCCCAAACCCACGTCCCTGTAGCCCACCGACATAATCTGGAACCCGAATGGCATAAATCCAAGGGTAAAAGGAGGGACCCTTAATCAGGACCCCTAGGTATATACCCCTAAATATAGCTATTATATGCCCATGATATAGCCCATTATGGGGTAGGGTCCCCACTAAGGGTCCCTCCTTTTTCCCCTGTGAATAAAGACGCTGAAGCAACCCCAGGATCCACGGGCATGGATGGGGGGATGGGGGCCAGGAAGGGCGGGGTTAGGGCTTCCCAAAAGGTCCTAAGTAATATAGGGCCTTTATAGTTAGAACAGAGTTTTGGTGTACATCATACTATCATATAATAAGGAACCCCCAAAGTAGTGTAGGTAATTAATTATTAAGTTTAGGGTTTAAGGTCGGTCTGGGGTTCAGGTCCAGGTGTGAGGGTTCAAGGTTTGCGGATATATATATATATATATATATATTCAAGCCTCGACCTGGATCCCCTACACCCAAACGCTCGACCATTCGCCGTAAGCCCGGCATCCCACCACAAACCCTTTCGAGTCTTCAAACAAGATTGAAATTTATGGGGATACTACTCTTAGAGGCTGCACCGAAGGTCATTGCGCTAAAAACCCTAAACCCTAAACCTAAAGCTTTCATCTCTAAACCCTGATTCCTAAGCTGTAAACCCTAATCTGTCGAGCCCAAACCCGACACCATGAACCCGAAGCTCTGAAGAGCTGATCCCCGGGGTCGTAGCAAGCACAGCAGAGTTCCTTCTTCAGGGTTTCGGGTTCAGGGTTTAGGGTTCATCCAGGTTTAGGGTTCAGGGTTTGCCGTAGAATTGCGCATTTGCGAAAGTATCTCGCGACAGTGCAATTTCTGGAGCCCGATTGTGGAGGCCGGACCCAGGAATCCTCTCGATCTTCCGTCGAAGTGCGGGCAGCCTTGCGATCGAATTGGTAAAGGAACACTGATGACCAGCGTGATCAAACCTTCACCGGTAACAGTGATTCCTTCAACCATGGCGTATTCTTCGACGAGAACTTCCCCGGCTCCACGTCCTGTCGTCGGAGCTTCTCGTTGAATCTGTAGCCCCAAGCCACTTCCCGTCGTCGCGCAAAGCACAGAAGCCAAATGCTGTAGAAATCATGCTGTTAACATCAAACAAGCCGTTGCTGGCTGTCGTCCTGCCAGCCCTGCCATTGCTGGCTGCTGCTGCTGGAGGAGGCCGGCTGCCACCCCGGGCTGCCACAGCTAATTCAAACAGCGTTCCTTCTTAAGGAAAGTATAGGCGTTCCTCCCTGGTTGTAGATGGGTTTTGTTACAAGTGGAGCCTGATTAATTAAAGAAGGGTTCCTGTTGAAATGGTTCTGAAACAAGAGGTCGAAAAGCGTTAACCCAGGGTTTAGTATAAGGGGTTCAATCAAACATTTGCACAGGAGATACTATATTCGAGCAGACCTATATCAAGTGTGACTGGAACACTGACATTTACAGATACTTCGACCTCGACATTAGGCTCCGAAGCCAGACCCGCCCATTATGCTGTAATTATGATAAGGAAAGGCCCCTATATACCCTTGGATAAGGACTGCCTTCAACCCAAGGAGCCCCATGCCCCTGATTGAGGAATAA